CTCTTAGATTTTATTTCAAAAAATTTTTCATGTTGTTTTTGTTTTGTAACTCTGTTTTCTTTTGACTCTTCAATATATAACATTTTTGGATTTCTTTACATTTTTTACTTTTTGATTATGACAAAAAGGGGGAGAAAATGAGATTTTGATCTGATCCATGAAACAGTTATGGGACTAAGTCTCAAACATTTCTAACGAAATACAAAGTTTTTTTTTTCTGTTTAAGAGATATGCAGGAATTCAAGAAATTCTGAAAGACTAAGCTCTAAACATCATCAGGAAAAGAATTGCTAAAGAAACTCTGAAAGAAAAAGTCTAAAAGCTCTGAAGAACAAATCTCAGGAAGTTTCCCTTATGCTTTTTAATTATTCTTTATTTCAGAAGAAGAAATATCAATCTCAGGGGGAGATTATCTATCTCAAGGGGAGATCCTCATACTTGCACAAAATTTCTTTTTAATCAAAATCTGAATTGTTTTGTCATCATCAAAAAGGGGGAGATTGTTAGAAAAAAGTTTGGTTCTAATCATATCTTAGAGTTTTGATGATAACAATGAAATAAATTTTGTGATATATATTTTATACTCTGACTTGTATGTTCTCTAAGATCAGATAAAGTTTTGTCTTACGCATCTTAGAAAGAAACAGCATTCTACGCAGGTATAAAGCAAACTCAGAAGGAAGCACTCCAAAGCAAACTCTGATGAAGAGCAATCCTAAGAAACTTCTGATAAAGCTAGATGAAGCAAAGATCTGATAGAAGCACGCTGAAAGCAACATCTGATAAATGCAAGATTAAAGCAAACTCTGATGATCACATATTGAAGAATACTCTAATAGAAGAATAAATCTAGTAAACTCTGAATTAGCAACGCTGCAAGCAAACACTTCAACTTCCAGAGATAAGCTATGACAGTACCGTTGGTTATTAAATGCTAAGACAGCTAACACACTCAAGTATACTACACGCACTAGCATTGGAAACATAAAGACCAAATCTACTCGCTACACGCATCATTGCAAATACGCTTCATTAAATGCATGCACCATCATCAAGGCATTAACGGTCAATTGGAAGCTATATATAGAAGACCTTTTGTATCAAAGAAAGGTTACTGACTTACGTGAAATATACTTACACTCACCGTTTTCATACTTGTAAACTAATACTGTATAGTGGGTAGTTCTTAAGCATTGGGCAACAATCTTAGTGAAAAATCACAATTGTGATAAAGCTTTTTAGAAGAAAATCTTTTCACTACTATTAAGAGACATTTTGTTCAGATTTCTCAAGAGGGCTAGGACTAGTTGAGTCTTAGAGGTTTTAGTCACTTGCAGTTAGTTCGTGCATTATATTGTTAATCACACCAGTTTGGTTGTGTGCTTGTAATCACTTTGATTATAGTGGATTAAGTCCTCATTGAGAGAGGCGAAATCACCTTGGTGGGTGGACTGGAGTAGTTTGAGTTTCAAACGAACCAGGATAAAATTACCTGTGTCCTTCCATTAGTATTGTGCTATAAAAGAAGAAAAACTTATTCAACCCCCCCCCCCCCCCCCCCCCCCTTCTAAGTGTTTTCTCAACCTTCAAATTCTACATTGACTCATTGTGTCAAGTGTTGGCTTCTTGTTGGTTAGATGGTTCTTTTCCCTGGATTTTACCTTATGCTTTTGGATAGTCCCTTCATCTCCTCCCATCTTCTTTAATTTCAAAAAATCTTCTCCCTCCTTTTTAAAACTATTCTTGTTTTCCAAACTTGAATCGCCTTTATAATAAACTTGGACTTATGTCCATGCATTTTCAAAAAATATTTTCTTAATCAAACCTTAATCAACTTAATGATACTTTGACATTTTTTGTGAGAAGACTAAACGTCAATCAATCTCATTCAAACCATTTCGCCATTTTGGCTTTTATCCTTAAAACTTTCTCAAAAGATTAGACTCTTGTCAATCTTTGTAGTGATGCGAGCTACTATACTTCTACGATATGTAGTGAAGTGAGATATTTTTCACTTGGATGTTGAGGGAGGCTCTGTTGATTTTAAAATCCAAGCTATATCCTCCACTTTGGGATGATGCAAATTCTCCTTTCTCATAATCGTGGGTAGTAAGTGTGTTCTTCTATACAGATAAGACGATGATGTTTCATCTCTTAAAATTAACCAACACACTTGTGATTTAAATTTTTTAAAGGTGAACTATGAGTACCATGATTCCCTATTGCACGGAAGATGGTACGTAGGCACTAAAGTTTCGCAACCGCGGCGGGTGCAAAAATTGTAAAAAAATACTTTTTTTTCTCATCCCCACAATCTATTTTTGTATACAACTCTTATAGCTAAAATACACAAATTTTTAAAGAGGTTCCTACGGAGTACTATAGATGTTTAGGGTGTTAACACACCAACCCCCGAACTTAGATTCTCCCCCCTCTTTTGGGTTATTCTCTCTTTTCCCTTTCCTTTGGAAACAATAAAGCGCAATGGTGATTTTATTTGATCTGTGCGAGTCAAGTCAATCCAATGGCTTAGTCTCAATATTTCTACTGCTACAACAACATTACCATGTGAAACAACTGGCTGAACAATCAACTGATAATGAAATCAATGAAGTCGCCATCGAACATTTTTCATCCAACAAGAAGGGAAAGTTAAACATCGAGTAAACCTAAGAAGGGTGAAATCAAGGTGGAACAACCAAGAGATACGGGTAAGGGAGTTTGTTACGCAAGGGGAAGGTATTATCACCTCAGACGCCTGTAGTACTCTACTGTATCCATTCTTGTTGTTCTAATCAAAGGGTGTGTTTCAAGTCTAAAGCTTAAGAGCTAAAAGAAAATGCAAAGAGGGAATGCTTGCAAAAGAAAAGAGAAAATAATGTAGCAAAAATAAAAGTTGTGCTCGCTTAGGCCCTATCCTAATGCCTACGTATCCCTTTTAGGGAATCAGAGCAACCATATTTCAGCTTAAAAGTTTTGATTTGTTTTGTGTTTTTTTATGAACAAATATTAATTTCGCCTTTTTTCCGCAACTCGACCTTTGGAGACTCACGCGTCAGCACAGAAGTGAATTAACATGTTCTTTTGAAAAAAGTTTGAAAGAAAAGCCCGAAGGCGCAAAAGAGTTTGCATTGGTAGATAGCTTTTATCTTACAGAAGGATTTAAAAGTTGTTAGATGTTTTATGCTGTTTTCAAGAAAAAAAGTTTTAGTCTTAATGCAAAGATGCGAAAGAAAGAAAAGCATCTAAGGGAAACTAGCTAGAACCTAATCCCTAATATTATCATACAATGATTGATCCTAAAGTTGAGTTTTGAAGGGAAATCTCTACCCTATGTTGACATGCTTGGATAACAATCCTAATGTCTATCTCAAACGATAATCTATAGATGAATCAAGCAGTCCTAAAGGAGCGTAGCAAGGGTCTATCACCTAAAACTATGTCTATCTCGAATCATCATCTATAGATGAATCAAAAGCTCCTAAGGGAACACACCAAGGGTATATCATCTCAAAACATGCACACAAAGATAAAATCAAACAAGCAAGCCAATAAGCTCAAGAGAGCATACACAATATATCATGAGCAGCACATGTTAACTCAAGTCAAATGCCTAACCATGATATAGAAGATCAAAGTAGGTATAAAATCAGTAGGGGCATCAACGTAGAGGCAAAGAAGTAGGGAGGGGATAGAAGAAAATAGCACGGAGCATCAACGTCGACCAACGTGAGCTCAAGACAAAATGTGGGGGATTGACTACAGATCCCTTTTCCACTAGACGACTCGATAACCATGATCTACACAACTACAAAGCATCGAACTACAATGTGAGCTAAGGATGACACAGACTGGAATGTGAGGGGGTCAATTACAGACCCTCCATGCTCGCCTCCTTTTGAGGACTTATCATCTGTAATATATTGCTGGAACAAATGTAAACACACGTGCATAATACCTACTTCAAAAGTAGGATTTTAAACAAACGTAGATAACATACAAAAAGCGGTGCCTGCTACAGGACTATAAAAAGCGACTTCGAGCGCACACTCTTTATTTCCTGCTTCCTACTTCACATGATCTCTAGAAAGCGATAAATACCCCTACTATACATGATCTCTAGAAAGCGATAAATACCCCTACTATACATGATCTCTAGAAAGCGGTAAATGTTGAAATGATAAACCAGAGAAAATACCAAAAAAATAAGAGTTCGTAGCACAGCTAGCAAAGAAGAGAAACTCGGAAAACTTCGAGTAAGCTTCACCAAGCAACGGAAAAGAGTAAGAGATCAAATGCTTGGAATAAGCGTCGAAATATCACCAGTGTGAAAATAAATCACAATTGGGATCTCAAGCATATCCTCATATCACACAATAAACCCGCATAAGACTCAAATCTCAACAAGCAAAGATGAATCACAAGATCGAGCAAAATGGTTACTAAACATAATCGATAATAAAAAATTCTAAACAAAATTCTAAAAGTAATTCTAGAAAAAATCTATTATACTCTACTATTCTTAATTGTTTTTATCAATGAGAAAATTCTATAAAAAAAACAAAAAAATTAATTCCTAGTAAAAAAAACTAACAAGTTTTCAATGATTTATAATTTTTATCATAAAAAAATCTAAATCTAACAAGAAGATAGTAGGGTCAGGGGTGTGAGATTTACAAGGGAGTGTGGGCTAGTAAGGGCGCTAGGCCCATCAAAAACAAGGCCCATCCAGCTTTTCTTATTATTGTTTGTATATTTCTTGTATTAAATATAATAAAATAAAAATGTAGTGAATCGGTTAAACGATGTGTTCAAGTTTCTAGGGTTGAAATAAAGTGCCTCTTGGACTTCAATCGAAAACAAAAGTTCCGGTGTCTCTTCGAAGCTGTTGAGAAAACCAGAGATAAGTCATGCAATCGATCTATTGCGTCCGCGATTCACTTCTCCTCATGCGATTCGTCTTTTCGCCTTCTGCTTTTTGATTCACTTTTTTGCTTCTGTCAAATATTGACGTTGTTGCGATGCAGAACGATGTCAATCTGTGGTAGTAGTGTTCTAACCGCGTGTTGATGATGATGCGGGAGTGGTAATGATGATGACGCTGTTATTGTTGATTCCGAAGCAGAGAAGTGTGATGTGATGGATTGGTTGATGCGGTTGAAGGAAGATGTGATACAGAGATGGATAAGGTTATTGCAAATTGTAGAAGATGAAGTAGAGAAAAGGATGAAGGTGTGGAACCAGTTTGTCAAGGGTCTGGACATAACTTGGGGTTGGAATTCGCCTACAGGGCTTGGCAAAGTTTGGAATGAAGATGAATGAACACCAAGATTAGGCTTTAGGACCTTAGGACTTTTTGTCACTCGTTTTGTGTATTTTGTAATGAATTTTGGGATGGGATTTGTATGGTTATTTTGTTTGGATTTGGACTGTAGTTTTGTTTAGATAAACTATGAATAATGTCGAATGGGTGGTACCTAAAACTTTTAGAATAATGAACATTGAATCCATGTTTGAAACCAAATTTCTTGAATGAATTTAAAAGGTATAACTTGTATCAAGAAAGTGAATATTGAATTGGAATCATTGAAAAACATATTTTGCCAACCACCTTGAATTTTTGCTCTATTGGAACTTGTATCGACTTAATCCCTCGAATGCGTCCTTACACCTTGATTGTCTAACATACTTGAAACCATGATTCAAACAATTTGATCTTTTAAACTCAAAATCCTAATATAAGGATAAGCATTAGTCTTTGAGCTTAAAGTACTTTGAAATAGATCCTAAAGAATCTTGTAAGAGAAATGAGCCAAGTGATTGGATGAAAATTCTTTCCATCATTACATTCACAAACCCTATCACGAATACTTCAAGGTTCTCAATATACTCATGCCTCAGGTAAGGATAGAATCCTTTGAATGATAAAATTCAATGATATACCAAATTCTTAAAGAGCCTATCTTGAACGCCACATTATTTCAAAGCAACCTCTCTTGAAGCCTTAATGAAACCCTAAACACTCGATGCACTTGAGAAATCTTGACGAAGGAAAGCCATGAGAGACTAATCTCACAATAACCTTGAACACAAAACCCTAATTCCATAGTATGGTACACCAAGAAGAACCAGAATAATCAATCTTATTCAACATATACACATCAAACCAGTTGTAAACCCTAGCTTCACAACTATTGATCTCTTGAACCTTAGGTGCACTTTTTTGAATGAAAGTGCCATGTGAATTACCTAATGAAATGATGCAGATGAATGAAATTTCAAATCCAGATAAAAGAAATTAGGAGGATAAATTTTAGGGTGTAACAGTTGTGCATATTTAATCGCCTTTGTAAGTGTTTGTTGGCAGCAATTTTGATAAAATAACGTGCTGTTAATATTTTGCTAAATGTCTTGACATTTGCTCGAACTGTTTTGAATGATGTCAAAGCAGATGTCTTGACATCTGCCTCCTGAACTGATCTCAGCCAACATTAGTATATGTTTTTCTATTTCCTGATTTCCAGCGCTCCATAATTCAAGATTTGTAACTCACAGGCAGCGAAAAATATGAAGTAATATTTTTCAAAATGCATGGATTTTACCTTGACCTATTTTTATGGAAATATTCAAAAGAATTGAATCTTGGGTTTTAAAGTCCAAGCCTACAGCTGCGCATATATAAGCACTTGCTTCCTTATTCAAACAACTGCAACTTTTGAAGAAGAATAATTTCTTTCTGTTTTAAAAAGTCTAAGTATTTTAATTGTCAAACACTCTAGTATTGATTGAATACTTGTGTTGTTATTTGGGTTGTTAATTATGTATCATTCATAAGCTTTTAAGCATTGAATGCTTGAAGTTTTTACACTTATTATTTCTGTTGTTTCTTCATTGTAAGTGATTGAAGGGATTTGAGAAGGGCCTCATACCTAGGTTTGTCTTAGGTAGAAGTATAGCACGGGTAGTGATTAAGTGATTAGATCGTAAACTGGTCGTTTACTGAGGGTCTATGAATTGATATTATTTAGTGGACTTGTCCCTGGCTTGGTAGCCCCCATAGTAGGTGTTGTTGTACACTGAATTGGGTGAACAATCTCTTGTGTTTTTACTGCTTTTGTTATTACTGCTCTTTATTTGTAAACAGATATTTGTGCCGTGACATCTCATTCGACATCACATATCTGATACCAAAATTTCAATTGGTATCAGAGCAGACATCTTGATCTTTATTTGTGTGAGATCCAGGGAAGATGATTTCTGGTACTATGGACAAGGAAGGAGGATTTATAAATAGACAAACCATTCTGGATGGAAGTAATTATGACTGCTGGAAACCACGTGTGGTTGCCTTTTTAAAGTCTTTGGACATCAGGGCTTGGAAAGTTGTTTTAAAAGGATGGAAACACCCTGTCAAATTGTGAGAAAATGGAGAACCTACTTCTGAGTTAAAACCAGAAGAAGATTGGTCTAAAGAAGAAGATGAAATTTCTCTTGGAAATTCTAAAGCCTTGAATGCTACATTCAATGGAATCTGCAAGAATATTTTCAGATTAGTGAACACATGTGAAGTAGCTAAGGATGCATGGGGAATTCTTCAATCTACTCATGAAGGCATATCCAAAGTTAAGATGTCAAAACTTCAATTGCTCACCATAAAATTTGAGAATTTGAGAATGAAGTATGATGAAAGTATAAATGACTTCTATATGAATATTCTTGAAATTTCTAATGCCTCCAGTGCTTTAGGAGAGAAAATACCTGAAGACAAATTGGTGAGAAAGATGCTCAGATCTCTTCCCAAGAGATTTGATATGAAAGTGACTACTATAGAAGAAGCTCAAGACATTGACAAAATGAAAGTGGATGAACTTGTTGGATCCTTTCTAACATTTGAATTAAGCATAAATGAAAGATCTGAAAATAAGAACAAAAGCATAGCCTTTGTATCAAATACTGAAGATGAAGAGGAGGACTGTGATATGGATATAAATGGAGGAATATCAAATGTCTTAGCTATGCTTGGAAGACAATTTAACAAAGTTGTAAAAATAATGGACAGGAACCAAAGATCAAATGTCAAGAACATCTCATCTGACATCCATAAGTCAAATGAGGTTGGAAGAAAAAGGTCTGAAGAAAAATCTTTTCAAGGGAAGGGAATACAACGTCATGAATGTGAAAGATTTGATCACATTAGAGCTGAATGTCCTACATATCTTAAGAAACAGAAGAAGAATCTATCTGTTACTTGGTCTGAAGAGGACTCAGAGAGTGATCTTGAAGAATCTGCCAAGTATGTTAAAGCATTAATGGGAAAATATGTATCTGATGAAGAGTCTAGTGATGGGGAACTAAATTTTGATGAGTTAGCTGCTCCATACAAAGAATTATGTCTCAGAAGTGCAGAAGTGTGTCTTGAAGGGGAGAAACAGAAAGCCGTCATAACTCAGTTGAAGGAGGAAGAGGAAGAGCATCTTAAAAATATTTATGATCTGGAAAGTGAAGTGTCTTCTCGGAATTCAAATCTTGATAGAATGGTCAAATCTCTCAAGATGCTGAATAATGGGTCTGACACATTAGATGAAATTCTCCAAACAGGAAGAGTGACAAGAGACAAGAGTGGTCTAGGTTTCAATGAGAAAAAAGAACTTAACTCAGAAGAGCTTTCATCTGTTTCCACTCATGCCAAGTCTAAACCAAAGATGTCGAATCAAATGTCTCAACATCTAGACAAACATCATGGTAAGAAAGGACATCATGGCAAACATCATGGAAAGAAAAAGTTTAATCACACCAAGGAGAAACCCCAGCCCTGGGGAAGTCATCACTGTGGAAGGCTTGGTCATATAAGGCCCTTCTATTTCAAATTGTATGGGTATCCTAAGACTACTCTTCCTCCCAAGACTGATAAGATGCCACAAAATAGCAAAAATAAGAAACAATGGATTCCCAAGTCTAATGTTTCTAGTTTCATAGCTCACACCTCCCTTAGAGTATCAACCAAAGATGATTGGTACTTTGATAGTGGTTGTTCTAGACACATGACTGGTGTCAAGAATCTGTTGGTGGATGTAAAATCTCATTCGACTAGTTATGTGACTTTTGGTGATGGATCAAAAGGTGAAATCAAAAGTGTTGGTGAGCTTGATTATTCAGGAGTCTCAAAGCTTGATGATGTGTTACTTGTTAAAGGGTTAACAACTATCCTGATAAGTATAAGCCAATTATGTGATTAAGGATTCGAAGTTAACATCACCAAGGATGAATGTCTTATGTGCAATGAAAAGAATGAAGCTATTATGAAATGAATCAGATCTAAAGACAACTGTTGTCTATGGGTCCCTCAAGAGTTGAACCTCTCCTCAACATGTTTTTAGCCAAAGAGAATGAAGTTAAACTATGGCATCAAAAATTGGGGCACTTACATCTGAAAGGTATGAAAAGAATTATATCTGAAGAAGTAGTGAGAGGGATTCTTAAGCTCAAGATAGAAGAAGGTAGAATATGTGATTGCCAGATTGGAAAGCAAACTAAGATGTCACACAGAAGATCCAACATCTCACTACATCAAAAGTTTTGGAACTTCTTCACATGGACTTGATGGGACCTGTGCAGGTTGAAAGTCTTGGTGGTAAGAAATATGCCTATGTTCTTGTAGATGATTTTTCTAGATACACATGGATAAGCTTTATTAGAGAAAAATCAAAAACTTTTGAAGTGTTTAAAGATCTCTATCAAAAACTTCAAAGGGAAAAGGAAAGTCATGTCATAAGAATCAGAAGTGATCATGTAAAGGAATTTTGAGAATAATAAATTTGCTGATTTTTGCTCCTCTGAAGGAATCAACCATGAATTCTCTTCTCCCATTACTCCTCAACAAAATGGGATTGTGGAACGCAAGAATAGAACTCTCCAAGAATCTGCCAGAGCCATGATTCATGCTAAGAAGTTACCCTACCCTTTTTGGGCTGAAGCTATGAATACTGCATGTTATATCCATAACAGAGTCACTCTAAGGAAAGGCACTTCAGCACCTTGTATGAAACATGGAAGGGAAGAAAACCAACTATTAGATAATTTCATGTTTTTGGAAGTAAATGCTACATCTTAGCTGATCGTGAACAAATGAGGAAGATGGATCCCAAGAGTGATGAAGGAATATTCTTGGGTTACTCTACAAATAACAGAGCTTACAAAGTGTTTAACTCCAGAACTAAAGTTATGATGGAGTCAATAAATGTTATTATTGATGATAGAGGATGGAGTGCTGAAGAAGATGTCTCAAAAGATGTTGGAACATCTGTGTCTGATATTCCAACAGAATCAAATGATAGAAGTGATGATTCTAATCCACCTCAAGAAGATACTGAGCCTA